AGAACAACAAGGACAATCATGTGATGTACAAAACTGAACAACAAGGACAATCATGTGATGTACAAAACAGAACAACAAGGACAATCATGGGATGTACATGTAGATTGGAACACGTTATGCTCTCCTGTGCTCAGGCGAAGAAGACTCTGACAGCGACCCGGGGGTTATCGACGGCCACCTTCGCCGGGGACACTCGACGGCCGGGCATGCCTCCGACGACGACGACGATGATGTCATTGACGACGATGGCAGACGCGTACAGCCGAGGTATGCTCTCGATACATTGCACAGCATGTCGTCTTGTTGTTATTTTGTTGTTATTTTGTTGTTTTCTGAAGTGGGATGCTTGTACATGCATAGTATTCACTGATCTAGCATCTTGATTCTTCCTTGTGTGTGCGTACATGTAGTGACTGTGTGCTGAAGTCTATCGCTATACCTGGCACCCGTCGTGTGTGTTCCTTGTGCACTGGTATCTACATGTGTGTGTGTGTGCGTGGGTGCGTGCGTGGGTGTGTGTGCGTGGGTGTGTGTGCGTGGGTGTGTGTGTGTGCGTGTGTGTGTGTGGGTGTGTGTGTGTGTGATCTGTGCACCTTTCACTATTGCAGTGCCGACGCCCGGTCTGATTTTGAAGTGATGATGCTGCGCAAGAGAGCGGTGAGGACGCGATAAAAGCTGTTCCATCTGGCTGGAGCGATCCCTACGGTTCCATTCATGGATCTTTGATGTCTATTCGATCAGTGTGCTTGATGTGTTTAGTTCCTATTAGGGGTGAAACGAGTATCAATTTTGACCAATCGATCACTCATTCATAATATTCGATCGAGTATCCGATTATTTCGAGTATTTTATCGAAATTCAAAAGCGCTAGATTTGTGAGTTCTCGACCAATTCAGAAGAAATTATCTGTGAGCGTAGCACAAAAGTCGCCAACGTCTTGTACAGAGTGTAAAGTAACGATTTTCACCAGTACTTTCATTATCTCAAAACAAAATAACCTTACTTGCCGTGGTGATCGCATCGTCCAAGTCATAAAATACTGACTCAAAGGCACAAATAATGCATGCACACCAGTCGATGAGCAGTACAACAGAGGTTTTTGAAAAATAGAATGCCAGTACTAAAAAAAAATAATAATAAAATAAAATAAAAACGATCGAGTGCAACATTTCGAATACTCGCTCGTTTGAGATTTTCGAACGAATACTCGAATATTCGAACTAATCGTTTCACCCCTAGTTCCTATGTATCATAATTATACAAGTAACAATAGATTCACATCTTTGTCATGCGACTAAATTAGTGTAGAAAGTAGTCATGGTGTGTGGTCCGTGGTCCGTGGAAACAACATGGCCGGCATCATGTGACCCATAAATGCAAGGGTTGACTGGAGTTGAAACCTAACTTGGCTGTCCCGCATGGTCATGTGATTTGATGTGAAACCACTCTATACAGCAGAACGAATCGCTGTGTGTGTGTGTGTGTGTGTGTGTCTGTGTGTCTGTGTGTATCTGTGTGTGTGTGTGTGTCTGTGTGTGTGTGTGAAAAGGTCCCCGGTCCGAATGCTAAGTAAGCGAAGAGATAATTATTTTGTGAAGTTTGATACCGTATTGCAACTGGTCATCACCACCGCCATATTGTTTGTCGATGGGCCCTGCTGTTGTGCTCTGTGCATGGCTGATCATGGGGAGAGCAGTAATGAAGCGTAGTGTTTTTCCTGGGGGCCAGTTTGCTTTCTCTATCAGTTTGGTTTGTTCTGTGGAGGACATCTCCTGCTCACGGTATTCAAGTTTGTTCTGTGCCTTCCTTCTTTTTTCCCTACTTTTTCTCGTCGGCAGGGCCGCAAGAAGAAAAGAAAGCCGGTACGTTGTGACAATGGGTTTTGCTCGTTTAGTCTGTTTAGCTTGATGAATACAGTGTGCATCAACTCACAGTTTTTGTTTATGTGTGTGTGTGTGTGTGTCTCTCTCTCTCTCTCTCTCTCTCTCTCTCTCTCTCTCTCTCTCTCTCTCTCTCTCTCTCTCTCTCTCTCTCTCTCTCTCTCTCTCTCTCTCCTTGCTCTCAGGGTGATGAGATTACCGGCATGGACGACTATGTGCGCACGTTTATCCGTGAGATGAGAACGGCTGCCGAGGTATGGCCAATGTTGGTAGTGCTTGCTGTTCTGCGGGCCATGTTGTTAAGCAAAATTACATCCTGTTGACATCGCCGGGTGCGGTGTCAACATGTGCGAACGTACTCTCTGTAACTTCTGTGCATGTTCCACTCTATCTTGGGTCTGAGTGAAAGCAGTCACTGTTGAGTACACTCTATCACGGGTCTGAGTGAAAGCAGTCACTGTTGAGTACACTCTATCACGGGTCTGAGTGAAAGCAGTCACTGTTGAGTACACGCTGAACATGTGTAATCTACGCTGCTGCAGTGAAATTCCGTAGCCAAGCCCCTGCCTGTGCACAGTGGACAGTGTAGGGTCTTCAAAGGGACGCACATTACAGGTTGGGCTTTACCTTACTCTCTGTTGGTAGCTAGTGGGTGAGCATATATCCGGGCATTGGTATTTGTGGCAGGTTTTGTTTATCAATGGAGATGGTACTTGTGTTTTGTCGTGATCGTGATTGGATTTTTCGGGGTTTGTTATTTTTTAAACTTGTTGTACTGTGCCATTAAGTTCCGTGCTCTTTACGCACTTGAATGCTTTACCTTTGACAGCATTACTTTGTGCTCCTTTGACGCATTTTGGTTGCGCTCGTATGTGTGTGTGTGTGCGTGTGTGCGCGCGTGTGTGTGCGTGTGTAGGAGGATGTGCAACTGAATGAGCGACAGCAAGCAGCTACCAAGAAGCTGAAGATGTTACCCAGTGTATTACGCTGCCTAAACCAGTAAGCTGTTGCTATCCTTTACTATGGTATGACTATGGTATGACTATGGTATGCGCATGCATGTGGGCTGCAGGAGAGAACCGCTGTGGTTGGATTTCCTCGGGTCATGCGTCTGGGTGGGTAGCATGTTGTCTCATTACGACCTTGTACTGCTCAGCGAATGCTCTCTCGCCTTTCTCTTTCTCCTCTCTCCTTCATCCCCCCCCCCCCCCTCTCACTTACTCGATCTACTAGTATCTTCCTCTCTCCCCCTCTCTCTCACTCACTCTAGCATCTATCTTTTCTCTCCTATGTGTGTGTGTGTTGTGCAGGGCTGATCTAATGCCTTTGTTCATCAGGCAGGGTGCCCTATCTTCGGTTGCGGTAAGGCTAGACCGTTCTCTCTCCTATTGTTCAGTTATTGCCGGCTGCTGGTCTTGGATCAACTGTCTTACATGTACACGGCAGTGTAAACCTTTCTAGTGACAACTGAAGGCTTCCTCAGGGTAACCCGTAAATAAGAAAAACCAGTTTTGAGTTTCAAAGGAAGTAATAGATGATGTGGCCCTACCAGCTAACTGGACCTCAAACTCTGCAGAACTACCTCCCCGTGGCATGCAGCCAGCTGCCAACATATCTTATGAGCTTATGTTATAACAGTACTCGCCCCAGCTGTACATCAAAGCAGAATATCTGGCAGACCCTCACTCGTATGTCCTTTTATGTACATGTTGTGAGTGTGTGGGTGTGGGCGGGTGTGTGTGTGTGTGTGGGTGCTGCTGTTGATGCTGCTGCTGCTGCGTTCAGGTTTGGTTAACTCCGCTACCCGATGGCTCTCTTCCACATTTGACAGTGCGCGATGGCCTAATCACCTGGTTGTGTTCGGTAGGTTGTGTTGGTTGGCAGCTACGTCTCACTGCTGATACGAGTATGTTAGCGTATTACTAGTATTAGACTGTAACATATCCTCACCTTGCACACAATGGTGGTGGTGGTGGTGGTGGTGTGTGGGTGGGAGGCTGTTAGGAAATCGTGCTTCTGAGGGCAGTTAAAAGTCAGGTGCTGCAAAGGAGCCTTGAGGGATTGGCCTGTTGTTTACCCGAGCCAGATGTCAAGTTTGTGTGAGTGGGTGGATGGAATGGTTGACCTGTTGGGTGAGTGGTAGTAGTCCTACTCCCCATTACATGCTATGCGTGCTCATCTGTTAGGCGTATAGGCGCGCACGACCAGAGTACATAACCTCCAAGACAAGAGTGTACTGCACACCCTGTATGCAGAGCTGTGGGGGGGGGGGGGGGGGGGGCGCATGGTGATGCACCATGTGCCAACAGTAGCTCAATAGGTTCCATGAGCAAGTAGTGTTGAGTGACTGTTAGGGAATGAATGTACCCGAAGCAGGCTTGGTTACAACTCTGATGGTATCATGTATCAGGTCGAGCTCATCTGTCAGGCACTGGTCCCCTCTGCTGTCCCTGCCCCCCCCCCCCCCCCCCCCACCTGCTGATGTTGCAGGGTCTTGGTTACAGTAACTGTATGCTTTCACCCACACTGATTCCATTCTGACCTGTGTATCTCCATATGACTGTGAACTGTATGGACACAGGTACCCGAGCTCGAACCCAGCCAGTTGAAGTCGAGCAGCGTCGGCAAGGCAATCATGTATCTGTATCGCCATCCCAAGGAGACGCGCGAGAATCGGCAGCGCACTGGAAAGCTGATCAGTAAGCGCTGCATTGCGTCTGCTTCTCTCTCAAAGTCGCTTTGTTCTTGTTGCCACGCTGTGTGCCCCCCCCCCCGAAAAAAGTCCTGTGTGGATAGTATGGGGCAGACTCCGGAGCAGCACCCATTTCTGCTAATCCATCGGCGCCTGATTGTGTTGTGGGGTGCAGTAGAACTCCTCTTATTTGGGCACATTGCGACTGGGCCAACGCCCGTAACTAGGGATTGTCCGTGACTCAGAACATGCATGTGAATGAACAACTGGTATGCCAGCCTATAGTTTTTGTGTGCTGTGTTTTGTTTAAGAGCCCATTTTGTGTGGCTCAAGAGGGGTTAGGAAGATGGCCGAACCTAGGGAGTCTGGATTAGATGGGTGTTGCGGTGTACATGTATTGATGTGCCACAGGTTCCTGGTCGCGTCTCATCTTCGGTCTTGAAGCTAACTACAAGCTGGTGAGCCGTGACGAGCGAGAGATGCGCGATTACATGCACATGAAGCGGCAGAAGCAGCGGCAAAGGTACTGCCACCGCAAGCTAGCTATCTGTGTGTGTGTGTGTGTGTGTGTGTGTGTGTCCCCTTTCACCTCGTTTACTCCCCTTATTTCTTTTCCTTTCTCGCTGTTGTCTCCCGCTTCTGGGAGCGACATGGCCATTTTGTGGCAGTTGTACATAGTAGTAGTAGTAGTAGTAGTAGTAGTAGTAGTAGTAGTAGTAGTAGTAGTAGTAGTAGTAGTAGTAGTAGTAGTAGTAGTAGTAGTAGTAGTAGTAGTGTGTATGTGTGTGTGTGTGTGTGTGTGTGTGTGTGTGTGCGTGTGTGTGCGTGTGTGTGCGTGCATGTGTGTGTGTGCGTGTGCCAGCTAGTTCGGTTGGTGGGTACACTTATGAATAGGGCTGAAACGATTATACCGAATAATCGAGTACTCGTTTGATAACTCTAACGATCGAGCAATCGTTTAGATTACCGATTACGATTATTTTGCGTTTTTTAAATTTGTGTCCAGAAAGTACTGTAAACACTCGTTTTGTGAAGTTTGAATCAGTTTCCGCTGGGAGTATGCAGTTGCCAGGGGTATGGTTCATGTTCATGAGGTTAAATTGACTTCAAAACTGCCATGTTTCGGAGCTACCCTTTCACTAATGCAGATTTGTTGGTATTATGAAGGCATAGTTTGTGGAAACAGTAATGTTTGCACAGAATTATGACTCACGCTAACGATTATAATCGATTACTCGATCGTTAAGCTAAAGAGTAATCGATACTTGAAAATCCACGATCGTTTCAGCCCTACTTATGAAGCTTATATCAGATCCACTCTGATTTAGCGACCCACACTATTAGCAAGTATTACCTTCACTGGGGGCAGGGGTAACTGCAGTTGGATCCCCGGACAGATACCCTGATGCCGTCAATCCTTTTTCTGCACCTTGTCCTCGCCCACTTACTGAGGTGTGGTGAGCCCATAAGTGGGATCATTTCAAGTCCACCCTAGTTTGGGGATTTCAGGGGGTGTCCGCCGTTGGGCGGTTCAATGTCGAATGTTGACTCATCTTTCGAAGATTCCTTTTGAGTCTCTCTCCCCTCTCCCGGGGAGAACCACGTGACCAGTTTTGGCAGTGAGCAAGCAAGCAAGTACAAGTGTGCGTGCATGTGTGTGTGTGTGTGTGCATGCGTGTGTGTGTGTGCGGGCGGGTGTGTGTGTGTGCGTCAACTTTAACTTAGACGTTACTATGATGTTGAGCCAGCTATCGTAAAATAGAATAAATTCTTTGAAGTAGTATTATCATGATCTGTGCACAGGGGAATATACGCTACGTTACAGCGTTTTTTATGTCATAATTTATTATTTCCAGTAAAATCACTGCGTGCATTCACTCATTGTTTGCATGCATTTGACCTCTAGTATTGACCCGTTCTGAGTCCTGACAATATCCAGGCTGAACTACATGTACACATGGTATCAAGAGTATGTAAGCCCCCAGGAGTATGCAACTCCTGATACCCTTTCTATGGGGTTCGCCGATGGCGAAAACTCGCATCACGTGGTGTAGTGTCACAGTGGTACGTTTCCAGCCCGTTTTTAGCGAGCAGCGGAGTAATAAAAAAATCACTCCCTGACAGAAACTCACTGCACGTATGCAAATCCCCAGCATGATCATGGCAGATATTCGGATTGCGTGCACACTATCCTTCGTTTGTACGTAATACGGAACGTACCTGGGTACGTGATGTGAGTTTTCTCCGCCGGAGACCCCATACGCAGAGTTGCTCACTCTTGGGAGGTTGTACACTCTTGATGGTATTATTTACTATTGCCATAACTCCTACTTTGAAGTATGTGCTGGCTGTTGCTCACAGCCTCTTCTACAGGTAGACCCCCTCTAATTCGAATACGGTATAATTTGAATATTCTCTGTACATGTAATTCGAAGTTGCGGCCTGGTAGTTTGAGGTTCGAATTAAAGGGAGTCTACCTGTATATATTTTTGTTCGCCTTTGATTATTACCGCTAGATTCTTGCTTTTCACCACAATATATTCTGTGTTCGTTGGAGAATTCCTTTGTGACGTAGTGTGTCACGAAGCGTGAGTGCACAGATCACTTATTCTCTAGTGTCTTTGTGTTTCTTGTTTTCTCTTGTCTAGTACGGACGGAGCTGATGATGAACAGGAGAAGGGAGGACTACTTGGCGAAAGGTATGTTGCTACTCATCTGCAGCCTGTTGCATTCCTCACAGGCCTTTCCCTCATACACACTGCCTTGCGTTCTATTCGGCTGTGTAGCTGGTTATCGACTGTCCAGGATAGATTTCAACTTCTGGAAAAAGCCTCTCTCTCTATCTCTCTGTCTGTTGGTGCCTCTGTCTGTCTGTCTGTCTCTCTCTCTGTCTCTCTCTCTCTCTCTCTCTCTCTCTCTCTCTCTCTCTCTCTCTCTCTCTCTCTCTCTCTCTCTCTCTCTGTCTGTCTCTGTCTCTCTGTCTCTCTGTCTCTCTTTCTTTCTCTCTCTCTCTTTCTCTCTCTCTCTCTCTCTCTCTCTCTCTCTCTGTCTCTCTCTCTCTGTCTCTCTCTCTCTCTCTCTCTCTCTCTCTCTCTCTCTCTCTCTCTCTCTCTCTCTCTCTCTCTCTCTCTGTCACTCTGTCTCTCTCTCTCTCTCTCTCTCTCTCTCTCTCTCTCTCTCTCTCTCTCTCTCTCTCTCTCTCTCTTGTTTTCTATCCCTATGTGAGTAAACATAATATGGCTGTTGATAATTTGATATCATCATTGTATGATGTCAAGTCAGTGGGAAAGTGTGAGCTCTAGTGTGGGGATTGAGCACTTTCCTCTCGTTGTATAATGCTACATTTCATTCTTAAGTTTGGATATGTTCTTTGCTTTGCTTTGCTCAGTGGCCAAGCGCTGAAACCGGGTGATCGTGGATTTGTGGGCCGTGCCCGTGTGCCAAAAGCATCCAACAAGGACTATATTGTACGTCCAAAGTGGAATGTGGACAAGGAGGCGAGTCGCAAGGTAAGCCCTTGTCAAGTTGGTTGTTACCTACAGTCCATTTATTAAAAAAATGGGCCCTTGCTCTGGCGAGCTCCCGTATTTGGCGACTTTTCGTGATTTTATGGTACACGGCTACGGTGCCGCGAAATTTGAAAAAGGGTCCGAAAAAGGTACCTCGTCTAGGGTTCAAACCGCACAATGTACTGTTGTACACAGGGGCGTCGGAACCGGTGCGGCAGATCCGGCCAAAGCCGCACCAATAATTTCATCTTTTGACTTTTGGTTGATAAATATGGTGGTAAAGACACACCTGGCAATATGGCGGTAAACACACGGCCGCCCACACACGCTCTCTTGGCTGCAAAGTTCTGGCACAGAGCTCTCCTTCTCACCACCACCACCATCAGTTCGAGCCTGGCGCCTAGTCGATGCATGGTTGGCGGTATCCGACATAGCAGGCTGGTACATCAAGTAGCGCATGGCACATAGAACATGACACAGCAACGACATAGCTCGATTGCGACGTACGTTTCGTCCCCGCTGGACTCATCAGGTAATCTTCTTCTTGGATGTCTTCATACGGAGCTTGACTCGGGAGAATGATGTGGAAGTCTTGTTCTTGCTATGGCTTGCTTTTTTTCTTCTTTTTTTTGGAGAAATAGACTTCAGAAACATGAGAATTTGAAGAGGATTCCGTAATTCTAAAAAATCCATTGTGATCGAAAGGGAGAAGTCCATCTTCTTATGAATGGTCTGTGCACGCCAACTCTCTGCAAGCTGATAGCATCATAACGAACGGTTTTGTTCAATATTTTCCATCACTGGCCAGCACAGTTCTATGGCAGGCCGCTTCACGCGGAGTTGAGCCAAGCCCAACTTCTTCCTAGATACCGTATTATCTCTAATATAAGCACGGTCCTTTATTTTTTCAATGTACCTCCGCCCCGTGCTATTAATGGAGACGTTCCTTTATTGGAGACTGTTCCATTATTATTTCAACCTCATTTCAGAGGCATGTTGCCATGCCAAATTCATGTATGACACACGCATTTCAGGGTTTTTTTCGCCGGTACAGATAATGAATTTTCACAGTGTTCTTATAATGGAGACTGAGCACTTTATTTTTTGAATGTCGCCCCAAGGTGTTCTATTATTGGAGACGTGCTATTATTGGAGACTGTGCTTATATTAGAGATAATACGGTAAGCGACGAGCGACACACATCACTTTCTGAATTGGTAGGTGCTCGTGACTCGAGAGCTCCAGGCCACATGCAGTTTGGGACTGTGCGTGGACTGCAGGGATATTGCTGCAATGATCCGTGCATTGTCCATCGGTTTTCGTGACAGACCCTTCACACGATGCGAAGCAGAATATCAATCGGCACCCTTAGCGGCCGTCATGATTTCCCTTCGGGAACGGACACGATAATTTACTTTTTACTTTTTTTTACCCATAGCATCACAGAAGCGGTATTGTGCATGGCATTTTAGAAGTTAGTGTTTACCAGTTCTCATCATTTTCTGACTTTTCACTTCTAAACACTTTTTAGTACTTGATCAACGCACCTGTGTGTGTGTGCGTGTGTATGTGTGGGTGTTTGTGTGTATGTGTGTGTCTGTCTAGGGTAAGAAAGAGCCTGACCGGTTTGAGAAGCAGCAGCTGAAGCATAAACAAGGCAAGCAATTGAACAAGACCAGACGTGCTGCCGCCGTCAGTCTCGTTGGCACAAAGATGTCATTGTAATCAAAACAATACTCAGAGCAGCCCATCCGCATCTTCTGTACAGCAAAGTACCAGATAGATTGCCATCAAGAACACTGGTCACGGTATGTTGTACAAGGGTCCTTGCAAGTGGATATATTATAAATAGGTATGTTGTATTAGTACTTCCTTGCTTGCTTCTTGTTTATCTCTATTTAAGTATAGTCTGATGTTGTTAGGTTTTCACCCGTTATGCTCCCAGTTTATGGTAGTTTTTCGTGTCCTGTACTTGATCGTTGCATATCTGTATGTAGGTGTGCTGTGTGTGCGTGTGTGTGTGTGTGTGTGTGTGTGTGTGTGTGTGCGTGTGAACTTGTTTGTGTTTATACATACTGTACGTGGAAGCGCGGATGTCACACTGATTATAGTGAGGCAGCCTCGTGTCTGTTTGCTCTACAGGAGTAAATACTGTGACCTGCCGCTACGCTGTTTTTTATTGTTTTCATCACTTTTTCCCATTCTCGCAGCAGAGCGAGCTGAATGCAGGCTTTCACTCATCCATCCGTCCTAAACTTACATCATTTTCTCCAATTTTTCAAGTTTCCTGTAAATCAGTATGTTTGTGAGCAGCAGATTAGTCTACCGTGTTGAACAGCGTGCACACACAAACTCTTGCAACCAGTCAGTAAGCACAGGTTTCTTGTGCTTGTTGCTTGATACAGTTGTTATGCATTGCAGCTGAATGGTCTTGGTTCTCAGCTTGTCCTAGCCTTGCTGTGAATGGTCTTGGTTCTTAGCTTGTCCTAGTCTTGCTGGGAATGGTCTTTGTTCTCAGCTTGTCCTAGCCTTGCTGTGAATGGTCTTTGTTCTCAGCTTGTCCTAGCCTTGCTGTGAATGGTATTAGTTCTCAGCTTGTCCTAGCCTTGCTGTTCTAGTTTTTCTTGTACCATTGCACAACCACAGTTGCCATGGTTACCTGCTATGCACCGACCTGAACCGTGTTTACCTGTGCCAAGGCTTTATTCGGCCGGGTGAAGTGGATGTACAATGCTGCTCGTTGAAATTCGGTCGTGCGAGTCAAGTTAGTTAGCGCCCTGCACCTGTGCGTAGCACAGTGTTCACACAGGTGTGCATAACTCCCTGGCATGTAATGTGCTGTTCAATGAAATACGATCGAGGCAGTCAACTTTGCGACCTACACAAGTAAACATCTCAGTGTTCGAAGATCTAGGGCTGTACAATGCCGGGAAGGCTGGGACGCACGTGGCTCGCATGATTGGATTTCTTTGAGCAACTCTGTACTCGACTGAAGCGATCGGGTTTCATGTTATTTACAGTGGTTGACCTACTGACAGTTAGGTGGTCAGCTGGCCTGCCATTGGCTGTTTTAATGACTCGGGATAGTGAGAGAAAGTATCAGCATGTTGACTGGGTAGATTTGTGTGCAATAGGCTGGCTACGGATGACTGCCCATCCAACTTCATTAAATTTTGTTACAAACAGGGGGGGGGGGGGGGGGGGGCGAAAAGTACCGGTATTTCACGACTCCCTGGTTAAAATTTTAAATGAACAGTGAGAACACACCAAGACTCAATAACACTGTATGAGTGAATCGGGAATATTTTGTATGCCTAGGAGGCGCACAAATTGAATTTTTTTAAATAGGAGAGTCTTCGGGTACTAGGGTACGGGTGTTACACGTAATTAGAGCGGGTACTACCAAGAGTACATAACCCCCCAGAGTGTGCAACGCCTGATCCAGCTCTGCAAAGGGTCTTGGTCGAGCGTAATCGGATCTTTGCGTCCTAATACCGTACAAATCTGAGGGGAACCCGGGTAGTCACGGGTACTCTAGGATCAAAAACAACGGTGCCCTACCTTGAGACCGGCCTTTTGCTGGTGTGGAGTGTACGCATGACATCAGAAGATCCGATTACGCTCGACCAAGACCCTATGCAGAGCTGGATCAGGCGTTGCACACTCTGGGGGGTTATGTACTCTTGGTAGTAGGGTAGCAGTTTGCTCCTGGATATTTTGCATGTGAGTAGGTGTTCGGTGAAAATGTACGGAATTTTTTCCACATACAGCATATTTGGCGAATGGAACATTTTCACTCACCGATGCGTAGAGCTCAATTCTGAGCAATATGCGAGCTGTTCATACCGTAGTGTTACGTATAAAAGCATGACCCATATAGAAGCATGACTCAAAACAGAAGCCGATTTCACGAAGCGCTCCATGACACAGAAGCATGATTTGAATAAAAGCATGCATGTATCATGTACTTGCACACTACATACATGTGCGTGACAATGTGCACTGCACAGTGTAAACTGAAGATGTTGGCGTAGAAGCATGTTTCGAATGTAAGCATAACTTGAATAGAAGCATGGTTTGAACCCCGGCTTATACGGCCGTACGCACCTGCTTTTATACGCGACATTACAGTATTCATTATATTCTTGATTTCCAGTATGGGTAACAAATAGCCGACAAAAGTCAAAATGGTTGGCTAGGGCTCCGATACGAGTGTGACAGCGTTATAAATATTGCCGGGAGCTGGGGCCGGGGACTAAAAATGGCAGCATCTGCGCAAGAGCCAGAGAACGAGGGACACTGCAAGCCAGAGGATAATATAATTGTACGCATGTGCACAATGCAGATGGATGCATGCTACTAGAGTGTAGGCACACACCTTGGTTTTAGCTTGGGGAGCTGCACAGTGTTAGCAAGCATTGATCATAGCAATATCTGGTAGTTCAGCATGAACACATGTGTAGGCAGGTACTGGTACATACATACATACATGACTGTGTGAAAAGTCAAGTCTCAACTTTCTTCAATATGAACAAATAACGGTCATGATCACAAAAGTGGAATGGATGGGTGGATGGGTGAGTGTGTGAGTTGAGAATCCACTGTAAGTGCAGACACAACAAGAACAGAAATCGGGAACTGTGGACTTCGAATACTTGCAGCGAGTGCGCAAGAGACTCTGTTTGGCAATGGAGCATACACCGTATGCGCCAACCTCCTGTAAAACTGATACTGTAGTAGACTGGACTAGACAGTACATGTAGTTCAGTTGATCATTATATCTACATAGTAACACAACAGTGTGTGTCATAGACAATCTGTATACATCATGTCTATACAAGTGATGTCACAGTGTTGTGATCAATGACAGGTAGTGTGCTGTTGGAGTATCTCTTACTGCAGTAGCTTCTTGAAATGATCCATGTCCAGTGCTGGTCACTTTCACCAATCTCAACTGCTAAACACTATCCAGTAGAGATCCTCAGAAGCTCACCTAGCCCTGTAGAATGTACAACGGCGAGATAAGAGTGCACATACGCATGCACACACACACCACACACCACACACACACACACACACACACACACACACACACACACACACACACGCACCCAAACACGCATACATACCAAAACACACACTCGCAGGCAGGCCATTTACTTGAAGCCCTGGGCGTAGAATTGGTCGTATGGACTGCATGCATTGGTGCTAAGGAATGAGGTCATTGTTTTAATAATCATGACTCATTGTAACATCATGCCTGTTATCTACAGGCAACTGTATACATTATGGATAACATCAAGTTGTCAAACAGGTGACCGACACGTTGCACACATACTACAGAACTTGCGATGACATTCCCTGCAAGGGAATTTTCCCTGATATATTCCACTATTTTTATATTTAGAACGCATATGGTGAGCCAAGGAAAGCAATTTGTAATAATTATGGAAAGTGTGGGCACAAGTTATGCGATTCCATATGCGATTCCATATCACAAATTTTTATATTTATTCCCACTCATGCCCCCCCCCCCCTCTTTCTCGTCCCACACACATACACACAACCCACAATCTCGCAAGTATGCAAAGAAGCAGGCACACACACACACACGCACGCACGCACGCACGCACGCACGCACGCACGCACACACACACACACACACACATACACACACACACACTCCGGGTCGCTAATCCTGGTACACACAACCATGCAGTTCACGAGTTTCTCATTGCACGAGACGAAGACGAGAAGAGGCGTGGGTGTTTGTGATGTGAAAAGTGGCTTCGCCTTTTAAATCACTTCTGGCAATTTCGGCATTGTAGTTGGAACGTGTCTCTTTCATCGGCAGTTGGGCGCTTGGTGGACCGGTCACACGGTTGTGGAGAGAAAAGCCCTGCATCGATTTGCAGCAAAGTTCAAAGATGGCATAGTGTACTGCCGTACAGCATGGTTTCCGGACACATCAACGTTCAGGTACAGAGCTCCCGACATCAACATCATTAGAGGCAGAACTGGACTGGGTACAGTGGTGAACTGCAATGCCACCCGCACACACACACACACACACACACACCTTGGACCTTGGACGCGCTGCCATATTCTGGCTATGCGGACCCCATGGGGGGTTGAGCAGGTTCGGAACAGTAGGGGCGATGACGGGATAGGTCCTGTGGTCTACTGAAACGCCGACCGCAATTGCAAACGATACAGAAGGAGCTACGGTCTGTGTTGGTTGCTCTGGCCGAGCCACGGCTGCACTTGTGACGTTTCATGCCTTGGCGCGATAGCACACAGCGGTTGCAGCGGGCGCAGTGGAAACTGCAGCGTTCGCAGGACATATTGTTTGTAACCGGTGACTCAAGTGTGTCAGAAGATGCCTCTGCTGGTGATGTTGGTGGCGAGCACTTGTGTCGGGCAAATCCACCCTTGCTCCGGAACCATCACACACACACACACGCACACGCACACGCACACGCACACGCACACGCACACGCACACGCACACGCACACACACACACACACACACACACACACACACACACTGCAACCATCGGTGACGCTGGGAGCACTGGCGACTATCAGATTGCTGCTGAACTGGTTCATTGCTCGGCCGTCATGCCCAGCATGTAGCAGCAGTAATGATAGCACAATGCAATTAGGGTTGACCTGTGACAAATCAACACGGTTGACTAGTCACAGGCTGACACGGTGCAAGACCAATCTGAGTGGCAGCGGGGTATGTGGAGTGAATACGACCAGCTCACAAAATGGCCAGGGAGATAGGCAGTGAGGTGAGCAAGTGTGCATTCGCTCGACAAAAATATATCGCCAACACAAGTGCCCATACATGCAGTCACACAAAACACACACACACACACACACACACAAAACACACACACACACACCCACCCACCCACCCACACACACACACACACACACACACACATACACACACACACACACACACACACACACACACACACACACACACACACACACACACACACACACACACACACACACACACACACACACACACACACACACACACACACACACACACACACACACACGTGTGCTCCAAACACATACATACAGGCAGACTCATGCCTGTCCTATCAAGCCATTGTTAAAATGTCACATTAGGGAAGTTTCGCTCTATGGAATTACGTATGAAAATACTGTAGCACCTGCACGTAGTTTTCAAACGGAATAATCCGCGCTGTTGGGTTTCCCTCTGCGTGATTTCTCCACGACTGCTAAACATACCTTGTTGCTTTGGAGACGCGTTGACTGCATGCACCTACCGCATGGACCACGACCCCAAACCGCGTTTTCCATTATATTTTGCACGTGGTGTACGGTGTGTGTACCTTGTGTTTCGCGTGGCTTTAACGTTGCCATGGATAAATCCGGAAAATGAGAAAATATTTCAAAAGGTCATACAGAGGACTCAACGTAGGAAAGAGGTTTCCTACGGAAATCCGTAGAGAGATTTACGTATGAAAGTTGCTCTCGCTCCCCGGCGCGTACGACATATGGATTTTCATACGTAATTACGTAGAGCGAAACCTCCCTGTTGACCCCAGAAGGCCCGGGTCATACAGAGAGACTGTAGGTGTATACTGTATGGGATGCTACAGAAAACCAAACGTACCCCCCCCCCC